TGCAAATGGCTCCATCTCTATCATGGGTATCACCAAGTCATATTTTACTACCCATTAAGGTAGGTAGTTATCTATTTTCCAAGGTGTTTTAAGGAAACTGCTGGAGTTGAAGGTCTGCAAGTACTTCTAGATGACAAAATGGTGAGGACTGCTGCTAGAAATCTTGTGATAATTCATAAGCAGCTACGCAGGTATTTTAATAGCTCTGCCATAAGATTCAGATAGCAGTCATAAACGCCCATTTTATTTTATTGTAGTACTGATCAATTCTAACACTTCCTGTATCAGTGCATCTTCTTTAAAAACATCCCCTGAAAAAACACAGCCTCTAGAATAAACTTTTGTTTCTCTTTCAACAGCTGTCCAAAATCCTCATTGAATAATACTTTGCTATGCTGTATCTAATTGAAGACCAGATGCTGTTGAACTAGTCATCAATACTGCATAAAAGTACAGGCATCTGCTTGTGTAAAACAACTTGCTTTATTGGCTCCTTACCTTCGAGCTCTTTGGGCCAGGACCAGTCTCATCTGTGAGGTGCATTACAAGTGTAGGTAGTTGTAAAAAGAAATCTTATTTCTTGATTGCCATTCTCCTCATGACAGAGAGGATAAATTGTAAAATTTTTATTGCAAAATATTAAAATAAATTACATTTTACAAAGACTTAGCAAATATTTACATACAGTGTGATTCCAGTGACAATCAGCAACAAAGAACAGACAGACAGGCATATTATGGAGTGATAAAAGTCAGAACTGTACAAATTCAAAAGCTGTATGAAAGACAAGTTAGTTTTTTAAAAGGTAAATCCATCACAAATAGAATGAATCTCATGAAGCACAAAAATTACAAGTCTACAACAGAGTTCTTGGGGTGTTTTGTTTAGGTCAACAAACTTGTATATTGCTTTTTGCTCTCCTCATCAGTGATGCTTGTCTGTCTCTACACACACTCTCCCAGATCAACTGGAGAAAAAAAATCTCAACATATACAACTGTGTCACCATGGATCTGTTATCAGTCTATGGTTTTATTTACGCACGTTTTGTGACATCCATTGCCAGCAACAGATTCACAAATCATTAGTTCAGAAAAATATAACATGCCACTTTTTGTATTTCCTCAGTGATTTCGTACCAGTGTATCAGATCTCCTAGACCGCCTGCTGCAAGATATGTATCTGAAAATTATGCCCTTCTGGTAAAAATAGGTTTCAATAGCACAAGACGAAACCAAGAAGTGTCACAATGATGTCATGAAGGATGGAGTCACATAGTCTATAGCACATAAAAGGGCTTTTGTAGGAACAGACTTTTTTATTGTCACATTTCAGGATTTTTTAAAAAAGTTTTTAAAGTATTAGTTTTTAAAGTATTTTAAAGTCCTTAAAGTTTATATTGTGAAAGCGGACCCATGCTTCACATGATGTGACTGGAAATACAATCTAGTTGTAGGCAATAGCTAGAAAGAAGAGTTTCCACTCTTATTCCCTCCCTTCGTTATATGTGCTTTTAAGGCTTTTTCTTCTTCTTCTTTTTTTAAAAATCCCCTTTCCTCTCTTTTCAGGAAGAGATCTGTCTCGCCTATAAAACTAATTCCATACCATTAAGAGAGCTGTTAACATCATTGGTTAGCCAAATGAAATCTTACATGGCAGCCAAAGAAAATGTTTCCAGATTGACCAGATAATTGAAATAACTAACAAGACCTTACCAAGTAGCACTGGGGAATTCACTCAGAGGCACTTTTGGGGCTGAATATCTCAAAAACCAGCCTGGACACCCCTCTAACTCACTACATGTAAATCTGAAGGCAAAAAGACGTTAATTTAGATCCCCCCCAGCAGCTGCTTTTCTCAAGACATGGAAGACAGGCAGGCAAAAAGCTGTCTTGCTTAGCACTTCAGCAGTTCTGAGATGGCACCATAATTTTAAAAACGCTGGGAAATGGTTCAACTTTTTGGATAGAGCCAGTATGAAAGCTATGCGCCAACTAAACCCCTCCAAAACACTGAAAGCAAGTAGGGCTTAACGAGACCGATTGTGTTGGCCCCTGCATAAAGAGGAATTTTTTCCCAGTGTTAGGATTACATTAAGGCACATGGTGGGATGTCTTGAGAACAGTTTTGTGAGGTGTGATCATGTTTCCCAAAAAAGCGGGAATATTGTACTTTGTTTTAATAAATTTAAACTATTACTTTAAATCCCATGACACTTATTATGCAGACTTACAGTCTATGCCGACTACACTGGGAAAGGCCAGAGAGCCACATCTAACTTGATAATATGAAACAGATCCCATCCATTCTCAGCTCTGGCGTACAAGTGCACTTCGCTACGGAGAACAGAGAGTCTGGGTTCCAGTGTGCAACATCCCTTCCCAATCAAAGCAGCCCAGCCAAGTGTCTGGGTTGTATTATTTCTGTATTAAAGAGAAATTATCTTTTTTTAAATGAAGATTGGACTATGCTTTTCTATTTCATGCACTTTCAGCAAGCCTTTTCTCTCCTCACTGTCCTGTAGCTTTCTAACTCAATAAAACTTTGATCTTTGCATCGATAATGGAAGACAAGTTGGAGGACAACTAAAACTATATGGAGTGCTTTCTCGTTTTCTTGTAAGCTAATATGCACGTTTTTAAGCTAGACTTGCTACGCAAGCATCCTGTGTATGATGCATGTAGTCTTACCTACCATTTCTTACAGTTACAAGGTATAGCACAACCCTTCAGATAGACAGAAATACTTGAAGGGCTTGGAGTCATTTTAAAATGATCAGGGTGGGGGTGTCTGTTAGAAGTAAATCAGAATCTTCTCAATAGGGCCTTTCCCTCTTTCCTGTCAGATACAAGTCAAATTAATCCACAGCCACCCCTGCTCCAAATAACAGTAATGTAATAAAATTTGATTTCAAATTAGAATCTCTCTTCAGCAATATTATCATAAAATACAGATTAACTACCAAATCCAATTATGTCAATTCCACATTTTTGCCAGTATAACAGAGTTGGCCCTAGCCTTGTGTTCACTTTCTATTTGAAAAAATGTCATACACGTGGAAAATTCTGAAAAGAAATGAGTAAAGACAGTCCCTTGTTTCAGAGTAGATGACTTCAAAACTTCCCATCAACAAGCTATCGAGCCAGAGTGCCAGTTTCCCATATGTCCTCCTCCTTCTGTGGAAGAGGCCAGCAACTGAAGCTGCAGCCAGTATTTGCAGTTATTACAAATATCTAGTAATTCAAGATTAGCATTGCAAGATTCCATAAGCTCTTCTTACAGAGCTAGCGAGTCTGCCAGCATTACACTGAAAACGAGAATGAGACAACTTTTAACTATTCACTGAACTTCAGAAACTTTTGGACATACTGGAATGACTTAAATACTGTAAAACTAAACAGAACAACAGAACTTGACAAGTTAAGGTTCAAAGGTCTTGGCTATTTTCTGTTCCAAGTATACTGGATACAACTCATGTCTGTACCTTTTGCCAACATGTAATCAAGAGCCTCATTTGAAAGAGTTGTCAGGGTTAACGCATAGATATGGAAAAAGAAAAATAAAACCATGGTATAATTTTCTTTGCAGCCAAAACAATTTGGGCATAAATGTTATGAAGAGACATACTTCCTTCTCAACGAGAAGCTCATCTCCAAGCCAAAAGATAATACTTACAGGAGCTTAGAGCCAAAGTTCCTTTTAAAAAAGTGCCTTATGGCCTTAAGTCACTTGATCACATCTCAGTTTGCCCAAGATTCGACATTGCCCGGCCTTCTTGAAAGTGGGATAGAATAACCATTGATATATGTACATAGGTCATACTTTAAAACAAAACAAATAAGCAGAGTGTAATCAACTGTTTCAAAAACCATCTCTCATTCAAGTCTGGTCTGAAGTACCAAGGCAGGGAGGGACATCAAATAGCAATACTGATTAGCACACTGCACAGATCAGCAGCAGTGCTACAGGTCCCTTCTGACAGGCATTAGGGCATTTGGAGAGTATCCGTGCCTCCCAAGGTGATTTTTTCCTCAGAAGAACAGTGTCAATAAAACTTCACCTGTACATAGATACTGTATAAAGTTCATTCAAGTATTTCCTCTAGGAAATGGACAGTGGAAGGACACTTTCAACGTTAAAAAAGTTCATTGCATCCTGCTTGTGCTCATACATGCTTTGATCAATAGGTCTTCCAGTCACTTTACTCAACAGTCCTGGGGCTGATGTGCAGTTTAGCAGCGCAATTGGTGAGCTTCATCCCAGACGATTCTTCCTTGTTAGAGGGTTCCTTCTCAATCCATTCCTTTGGAATTCTTAATTTTAATATTTCATTTATGAAATTACAATTCACTATAATTTGACAAGCACTGACATATTCTAGACAGATGTTTCAGATGCTTCCTCCTCAGTCTGCCAGCGCACCTCAGCTCAGATCTGTGTGTCCCGGTATTCCACCTAAAGTTTCTCATTAAGAACAACTAGTGGTTGCACCATTTTTTTGTGGTAACAACTTAACAATGGGCAACTTAAAAAAAAAAAAAGCAAACCCCTTGCTTTCATTTGTGATCAAAGCAGAATTCAAATCCAGGTTTTCATAAGTGAAAGGCTAATGGAGTAACCGAACACATTTGATGCCCAAAACAGTCTCTTTGCAACAGTATAGTTACACTCCCAAACTAATTCCTCAATTAAATGCATAAGCGCAGAGCAGGTCCAGTGTATTAACTAGTCTTTTCTTTTCTGCTTTGTTCAAGAACCATAAAATCCCAAGAAGGAGCAGGACTCCAAATTCAACTGTTATTTTACAAGTTTTTCAGATAAGCAAAGCTGATGGGCTCAGAAACTAACTCAGGATGGGAAAAGGACACTGGAGTTTATTAGTTTGGGACTTGCTTTTGTTTTCAAAGAGACAGGAGAAGCTGCAAGAACATGCTTTTCTCCTTGCTCTGTTAATTTGTTCAATATGCACTGACCACTTTCAGAAAACCATTGTCAAACATATCACGTTGCAGCCTTCACATTGCTTACTGTATTATATTCATTCATCAGTTGTTCATAAGGCACAGAAAGTTCTAGCTCGTTATTGGTAAAGGTAGATTCATCAGAGGATGGGAATTTTACCAGTTTTTTTGCAGTTTCAGATTCCTCTGCGAGATTATCATCCATGGAGGATTTTGATGTTTCCTCATCATCCGAGATATCTTCCTCTTCGTCATCATCTTCATTTACAAATGTTATATTGGCATTATCAAATATTAAGGGTCGATAGTCTCTGGAATCCCACACTTCGCCTTCTTCTTCACTAATCCTGTCTAGCTGGTTTACAAACATGGTTCCTTCTAGAGGGCTGTCTCCAATACGTTTATCATGCAGGGGTCTCAGTACATGGCCATTTTGAATGTCCAGGGAAACCTCATCGTACTCAAACGACTCTGTCTTTGTGTAAGTCACCTGGGCATCTATACTGGCATTCTGCATATTCTGTTTGGTATTTTCAACTTTAATCATTTTGTCATTGTTTGTCTTCAGGGCCTTCTTCCCAATTTGCTTAATAAGATCATTGTATGTCTCTTCCTTCTTTGAGAGGAAGCTGAAGATGTTGACATCCTTTGAGGTACCCATTTGAAGGGGTTTTTTAGACCGAGGATGGTTATCAAATGACTCTTTTCTTTTTTTCCTCCGTTTCTTGATTGCCTTGTGGACTTCCACAAACATACTGACCTTCCAGTTAACAAAGAGTGAAAGCCAAGCTAGTCCCAGATAGATCCATAACTCCACAAAATATCTGTAAAGGGCATGGTAGTTTGCATCTGGATTTACACCTACAAAGAATTAAAACCAAGAACGTTACTGAAAGAGGATTTGCAGCTGATAAACCTTTGAAGTTAACAACCCTGAGAACTACTCCCCTCCACATTAACAGTCTAGTTGTTTGAACACTGCTCTGAGAGGTGGTAAGTGGGGATCTGAAACCCTTCTGACAGAAAAAGTTGATCCCAGGTCTTCCACTTCTTGGCTGCATGTATTTTGACCACTGGACTACAACATAAAATGGAAGCATATTTATCCACTCCTTGCAAGCTATAAAAGTGAATTTTCCTCTTTGAAAATTATAAGCCTTCTCCCTGCCACTGACGTATCGATATAGGTACTTTCCTTGAGAAAAGGATTCAGAATTCCACTTCCGAGGACCATCTCCAAGGCCCTGAACAAGGCAGTGGATTTTAGAGAAAGACAGGATTTCGAAAGCAGACACCAGTATGCTCAGCATTTCCTGTTGACTCGTTCTAGACAGCTGCAAAGACAGCACTGCCCAGTACTTATGCGCCCTGTTTAGTATACTGGATCCCCTTCAAAGGTGCTTAACTATCATGGTGGATAGGATAGCTCCTTCCCTGAAATAGGGACCTGGGGCACCCAAAAGAGTTACGAACTCCAGAACTTGGCTCCAGATTTAGTCCAATAAAGGCCTTAGGTATCTAACCCAAGACTGAAGAGCCAGATCTGGTCCATTGGACCAGTACCCAGCTTTAACTGAATCTTCTATTCAGCAAAGTGTTTGGAAAAGCTTAGAAATTACCTTTCCAAATCAGAGTTTGGAAATAGAATTGCCACAATATGCATGTAGTAAAATATTATGTACAACACAATTACTGACCAGCAACAAAATCTCCAAATCCTATGGTGGTGATAGTGATGAATGAGAAATAGAGGCCTTCAATGTAATCCCATCCTTCGGTCACCATAAAGACAAAGGGAGGAATAACCAGATGGACCAAGACACCCCAAACAATGAAAATAGCTGTGCATGTAATTTGTGCTTTCCTCTGTAAAGAAAGAAGAAAAAAGTCAGGGAAAGATCTCCAAATTTTCTTTTCCCATCCATGGCATTAAGCATCATTGGACAGTATCAGACATTTCCGAGTTTTGTGCTAACAGTTTATCAGCCATAAATAAAAGTCATTGACTGAAGTAAACACACAACTATTTTTTCCCTTTATGCAGAACTTGCTATTCTTACAAATACTTGCTCAAACAGGATTATTTCCTCATAGTTGTTTTTTTTTTTTTTTTTTACACTCTTGAAAAGCTTAAGGAGTTCCTGATATTTTATAAATAGCCATGGGATACAGACATAGCACTCTAGTCTAAAAAGCAGTCAGTACCTCTGATTTTCCTTTTATTCATTTGAGTATAGAGGATCAGAAGTGTTTAAGATGCTTCTTTCCTATTTATGCCGCCTACCCTTTGCCACTCATGTAACCTCTGCACAAAGCTGCGCACACACACATGCATTTCACCATCATTTCATGTACTTTCTTGCTAGGTGCTGAACCAAGAAATTTCTTGCTCTGTTTCTGGAACCAAGACCTAAAGCAGTCCCGCTGTCCTCCAGGCATTATGGCCCTGCATTGCCTCACATCTCTGTGTAGAGTTAGAACAGAGATAGAACTCACTCGGGGAAACAAAACAAAACAAAAAATCCCAAACACCACCACCCCAACCCCCAAACAAACCACCACCAAAAAACCAACAAAAAGCCACAAACAAAAAACCCCACAAGCCAGTAACTCAAAACAAAACATTATTTTCCAGTTGGTTCACTGCACATCAGGAAGTACTCATACTAGTATAGAAGCAGGTGGGAACAAAGCAGGACAGCTTATTTCCGTGCCAGAGGAGCTTGCACAGAATGTTTGTGAAACGGAGCCTCACCTACATTTGTCCTACAGGTTTCTAATGTAAGGAGATACATATGTCTCCATAGAAACTGCAAGATCTATATTTATTATCAAGGTTTCTATAAGATCTCATTTTGCTAAAACTTCTTGCAGAACTAACTTATCAGACTCAATCTCCCTTTTAGTTATTTCTATGCAACACTATTTGGGAAAGTTCATGTTTGTGCAAGTGTTCATTTACTACTGATATTAGCAAGTAAGTTAAGAAGTGCAAGCTTAATTCATGCATCAAAAATACACAGCACGAGGGTAAACAAGAGAGGGCCTTACCAGGCTTACTCCTCTTTTCGTCAGAAACTGGCCCAGCCTCTTGGCACGTCCTCCAAAGAACTTCCCCAGAGCACTGATCCATGTCAAGCAGAGAGGAACTCCAAAGAGCCCATAAAATATGCAGAAGAGACGCCCAGAGGGTGTCTTTGGAGAAACATTTCCGTAACCTAAAAGAGATAAGTATGTGCACGGTCTGTTCTTGTTGCAGAGAATTCAAGGCAACTCTACTTATGCACAAAACAACATTGCGTGGGCTTCTGCTGTATCAGACGCTCCTTACTTCACCACCTATAAAAGGTTTAGTCTACTCCGCCTGCTGATCTTCTGAATCTGGATACCTTCCAATTCTACTCTAGCAGACGTGTATTCCATTAATGCAGGCTGAGAGGATTACTGCATTTTAAGCGTTTCCTAGATTTTGTGCATCTTTTTCTGGACAAGGTGAGATAAATATGAAATAAAGCTCATCTCAAAACTTCTAATGATTCCCCAACCTTAAGCAGCACTGTTAAAAACTTGACTGAACCAATTTTACAGAATAAAAGCTCAAAATTCATCCTGAAGCTAGCTTCCACGTGAAAGATCCACTATGCCCATTTAACTTGTGAGCTGGTACATTTCCAGGGTAAGAGTTTGCAAGTTAAGTTACTTATTGGAAAGGCACACATTTCTCTTCTGTATATCCATGGAGAGAGTGCCCCAAAACTGGGTTTTTTTCCCCTCTATGAACCTGTGGGTGAACACATACTGTAGGCAACTCCGGCCATTTGGACTTTATCCAGTGTCTAGCTTGACACACAAATGGAAGAGTACAAACACACTAGGGGCATACAGAAAACTACAGTGAGGAAAGTTGATGTAATAAATACTTACCGATTGTAGTGATCACAGTAGCAGCAAAGATCACAGCATTAGGCCAATTCCAGTTGTTGAAAGTATTGTTCCCAGTGATGGCAACACCCTGTCCAGCAGCATTTGACACAACCTGTAAGAAAACAGTTTACAGTCACTCTTGGAAAATCCTGGCAGCCTGAAAAAGAAACGTGTCTGTCCCTCCCAGGTTCTCCCCCTTTGTTCATACTTTCAAATTAATCATTCAAGTTTTTTGTGAAGGCTAGCCTAGTATACTCACTAACAATAATTTTATGAAATATTAAAAACTTGCTTCACCTACAAAAAAGTAGTGCAGGTGCGCTGACATTTAAATAGGGGGTTTTAATTAGATAAGCTTTTACTTGATTTACCAGTTTAACCCAAATGGATCTCTTCCAGAGACCAAACACACTCCTCCAGACTGAACTAGCATTTAACCTCCAGTGCAGTTCTTGAATTTGGTTTAACATTAGGGACATCTTCAGAACTACTATCCATTTCAAAACACTGTTACATGCCTCAGCTTGACTTGGGTATGAGCAGGACGTCATAGAATCCTTGGCAAAGCTAGTGCAATTAATGTTAATTCACCTGCTGTCCCTGGCAAAGTCAAACCATCTACAAGCCAGCATAAAACTGTACTTTTCAAAAACAGACAAATTAACACTTTTCCAAAGTATTTCATGCAACAGGACCCTAATCATTGTCCTTGAATCAGGCCCCTTTCTTATCCCACCTTTGAATCTAGTATGCCAAGAGGAATGCAAAGCACTCTTTTACAATGTTTTAGGGAAGCAAGTGTAGTTTTTGGCATTTCCAGAGATTCAGCAAGTCAATTTTTTAACATCTGTTCAGGTCTTCAGGTGCAGAATTATTAACCATCTTTACTTTTTGTAGGAAGGGACTTGGAAGACCCAGCCTCCCCTGCCTTTCCAAAACTAGACTGTAGAAAACACATGGATAAAAAGTCTAATGACTATTTAGTGCAGAAAGTCAAAGTTTCAGATCAAAATCATCTTGCTGACTATGACATGTATTTCTACCTCCCCAAAGTAAGAGAAAAGCAATTTATCATATTCTCTCCCAGAAATCCCTGGTTATTTAAATCTTTGCTCTGTCACATCATGCTGCAGGTAAGGCCTTCTCAGGTTACTCTGCTTTTTTCTCCTTCAGTGTAAACCAAGGTTGTCTGAACAAAACTCTGAGGCTACATCCATATACAGGAGAGGTGAAGATATCTCCAAAAGTTGATTCACAACATTATCCCACTTTCTGTGTTTCTTCCTCATTAAGTGTTGAACACAAAAAATATCTTGAGCTGAATACCTAAAACTGGAGGCAATATACATTTTTTTAATAAACATGACAGATGAGGTTTATCTTAAACTGGTAAGAACTTATAGAGGTACCTACAACCAACTCTTCCTTCCCTCGTCACCCCTTCCTTCCTTCCTACTTGATTAAGATCTTGGACCCAGCAGAGACTCAACACAAAGTTCAATTGCTACTGAAAATATACACAAGTTAACACAGGTTTTAATTATTCTTGAGACTTATTACGTATCACCACCCTCCTACTGTAATAAAAATGCCCTCAAAGTGAATGTATTGTGCATATACAAGATGCAAACAATTTAATTAAAAATGCACTTTCAACACACAAGCTATTATAGAAGATAAAAGGAGAGGCATTGAAAGTGAATGAAGGTACAGAACTAGATTTTTCTCCTGGTAAACTCAATGTGTGTTTAAAACTGCATGCAGTGTCTTTCCATAGCCTACAGGCTCTGGATAGAAAAGGATATAGAGAGACTTCTCACCAAGGCAGTCATTTGTCATAAGAAAGTAATGTTGAAATGAGAACTAGCCCTAAAATGGGCAGGTTGAGATTAGGCAAGTAAAACACACAATGCCACCCGCTAAAAAAAAAAAAAAATAAATTGAGGCAGCTACAATAGATCACAAGAGTTCATCTGAGTAGAGACCAAAGTAACTTTATTCCTGCTATGGTCTGCAGATGAACTTCCTAAAAGTCCCAAAGGACATCCAAAGTACCTGGTAGATACAATCTGTGATCTATTATCCCTGAAAAGATGCCTTGACTTCTTTCACTCCCCAGCAATACTGCACTAAATGTTACATCAAACACCCATTTTCCAGTCATTTTCCACACTATAAGTGCACTTGGATTTTTTTTTAATTGTTATTTCCTCACAGAGCAACTGATCTCAGAGAGATGCACTGAAGTATCTGTTTCCACTGTCACTGGGCCATTATCTCATTGCATTACTCCACCTTCAGTCTGCACCGATGAGCTCAGCTTCCCAGTACATACAGTTACTTTAAGATCTGCCAGTGTTTGAGGTCTGGAGGTGTGAGGGGGGCCCAGACCCAAGGGGAAGAAGCTGCTGGACTGAGTAGCACACAGCTGCCCTTCACACCCAGGCAGTTAACATTCTGGGGGAGAGATGGCCAGCTCTCTGAGTTACATAAACACTTAACATAGAGAACCACAGATACTCTCCAGCCAAAGCTGCCACACTCTTCCTGCCCCTATTTGCACACAGCTATCTGCTATTAGCACACAATTACATACGATCTACAGTCTAGTCCTTTAAGTTACTTTATGCCTGCAGTAAGCCTGAATGTGCATTGCCGCATCCCATCTGCAGGAACAAAGATGGTCACAAAACATGCTTAGATAGCTTTGGTGCGGTGGGAAATACGTAGCTGTTTTCCAAGCAGCATTACTCTTGCCCATACTGAAATAATTAAACTTTTTGGCTTCAACAAACAATCTGAGTGGACACTATACAACTGGACAGCCAATATGTTTTTTTGCTTGGCAAATCTGTTAGGCAATGTCAGAGATGCCTTTATTTTCATATGCTAGGATACAGAATGCTCCAGGTTGCCTGTGCTGGATTTCTTAAACTAAAGAAAATTTGCTCTAAAAAGCCTTTGGATGGGAAAATAGGAGGCAAGGAGGGAGAGGAAGAAGAGGGTAGATAGTGCAAGTGTTCTTAGTATCTTGAAAGAAGTAATTTAGAAAATACCTTTTCAAGTAGGCCCAAATTCAAAAGCTGAAAACAGTTAACTAACTTGGAATTTCCACATCCCCTGAGACCCCACCTCATGACAGTTTGTACTGATAAACGCAGGACTTTATTTTCAGTCAAAAGACTCACAGGAATCAAACCTCCTCTTCTCCCTCACCCACCCCATCACCCCAATTCTTCACTTTGGCAAACAAAAAAGGAAAAGAAGATCTAGAGTCCCTGGAGCTACTGCTGAAAGTAAACAGACTTGCAATTGCAGAAGGAGATTTAAGACACACATAAAACTAATACATCGTCTGATGACATTAACACAAGTAGAACCCAGGGTAGGCATTTGATCATAATAAAGCAGACAATTTGCTCCATTTGAAGGTACTTCCCCACAGACAAACCCCAGCACTGCTCCAATACAGCCTTGTGCTTCCTGGGCTTGGTGACATTTTTATTAACCCTCTGACAACTAGGTTCACTAAAGATTTACCAGATATCACAAGAGCTAGTTGTTAAAACCTCCTCTATCTTGGGCAAAGGAGAGGAGTTTCTCTCCAATGCTTTAGGTACATGCCACTTGCATATCCCCTATATGACTAACAGTTGGGCTGAAAAGTTCTCAAAACAAATTTGAAAATAGCAAGGAGAAGCCTTGACCCACATAGGTATTATGGATATGTTCCTACTTCTATTTATTCTACTTCTCCATTTTCTGCTGGGGATAGCCCAGAACAGCAGCAAGGTTTTCCCAAACTGGGAAGCCACATACTAATGCATTTGTTCAAATTGTTTTTTTCTACTGTCCTGACAAGGTTTGCTAGGGCAAGTCTCTATGGTGGCTTAGAAGCTTGCAATAGTCAGCAGACCCATCTTAGCTGCCCTTGTCTTTGTATTAGCAGGAGGGATGGTTAAGATTGAAATTTGATCAATAGCACTGCAAGGTAAAATGGTTCACAATAGAATGACATTTAATCCCTACAGAAGTAATGCGAGGGTATAAAACTAAGGGAACAAGCACATTGGAGACTGTCTAAATAAGTATGTTGAATATGCCATTTTACTTTGGCTTCTTGGCCTTCAGAAGAAGGAAAAATGGGACAGAACTATCACCTTCTGCCTCTGTAAGTGTGAGCAAGTGCACAAGGCTTTATTTTCTTCCTAGGAAAAGAAGAAAATATTCTTTCCCCGCCCTTCAGGTACTTATATACAGGGTACACCATTCCTTCAGGTACTTATATACACTGATGAGATCCCCCTGAGCCTTCTCCATGCTGAACAGTCCCAGCTATGAGGACTAGAGCATCCTCCAGTCCCTTGATCATCTTCATGACTCTTTGCTGGACTCTCTCCAGCATGCCCCATGTCTCTCTTGTATTGAGGAGCCCAGAAGTGGACACAGTACTTCACGTGTGGCCTCACCAGTCGAGAGTAGAGGGGAAGGATCACCTCCCTCAAACTGCTGGCAATGCTTTGCCTAATGCAGCCCAGGATACCTTTAGCCACCTTTGCTGCAAGGACACATTGTTGGCTCATGTTCAACTTGGTGTCCACCAGGACCCCCAGGTCCTTTTCTGCAAAGCTGCTTTCCAGCTGGGTGGCCCCCAGCATGTGTTGGTGCATGGATCCACATGTGAGTAGTGATGTTACTCTAAGAGTTAAGGACTGCAAGAAAGCTGTGATGGTTTTGCATATCAAGTAGGAATACTTTCATATTTGGCGTGAAATCCTAGACACTTTAATAAGGATTAGCTGAGTCTGATAACAATGTGTAATAGGAAAGAAAAAGGACTTCTGGGGTACTTATGGCCAGACAGACAGGTAGGCCAGACTAAAGACGCAAGACAATAAACAGGCTATGTAAAATACAGCAAGAGATCCTACCCCACAGGCACCCTATTACAAACAAGAAGAACAGCCGGATATTGCTCAGTGCCACGTCTCTTTTGAAGAGGATAAAGTGTCCCATGTTATCCAAAGTATTCCCTGGAGATCTGACAAATTAAGTCTAATGGTAGTTTTAAGCTTCTCCCAGTGGTATGCACAATTCTCTTTTGAAAACGCT